TTCCATTTCCCATGTCTTGACAAGGTTCTGAACTTTTTCTTCAAGTGATCCAGGAGGCCATATCTGTTATGGACAAACAACAAATTTATATATTGAAACTTGAATTGATACTCAATTACTTTGAGCAAAAGATTCAAACTTTTGCAATCACTAAAGCGTTCAAACTTCTGCAATCAACAAAGCATACAAACTTAAATTCGGGGATATATAGAAAAGAGTCCAGCAAACACTTTTTTTGTATAGAAAAACTAACAGAAAGCATGACGATGAAGGTGAAGAGAACCCTCAAACCTTAGTTCTGCCTTCTTCAAAGAGCTTGTTGACAACATCATAGTTAGGAGGAGCACCATATCTCCACTTGGTGTTCTTTTCCCCTTCTCCATGTATGAAGGAACGATACTTGTCTCCCTCAACACTCGAAGACGCCATTATTATCACAGAAAATAAAAACAACTAAAGTTCCTGCACAGGTTTTGATGCTCCACAAATGGGTGAGCCTTTTTAAATAGAGAAAGCCAAGCTGCCATTGAGAATATTCAAACACACGTGATGAACTATTGACTGACATTTGTGTATCTGTTTTTTTCTTTTTTAATATATATTAAGTTTTCAATATTTAATTATTACACCATATCCAATTAATTGAAAATTAAATGATATCAAATCTTATTTAAAAAAATACACTCTTAATATCTATTTTTTTATTCATAAAGCCTAAACTTAATATTTTATTCATAAGAAATGAGATTTCCCCCACTTGAAATCAACAGATTTTGTTGATACATTTTGTTGGTACATTTATGTACATTTATGTATCTATTGACCAGGTAAAAAGAGAAGACGAATTGAAATTAACTTTTCGGATAAAGACATATAACGGCAAGCAGCCCTTGGCAAAAGACAAAATCCAGTTTTTCCAAATTTGTACCTTTCTCCTGTAAGGATAAAGGCTCCACCAATGATAGTAGAGGTGGTTGCGGGTTACCTATATTTTAGTCTCTTTTCGTTTTTTTTTTTTTTTTAATGAAAATTAATTAAAAAATGAGATATTTTTGCTTATTTTTTTTATTGATATGACTGATAAATTCTCAAATTGAGATTATAATATTAAAGTGGGGTAGGGCTACACGTCTGAGCTGGCCATTACATGATCTTTTTGTTGGGTGACAAAAGAAGTGGGACCCATTTCAAAATTAAAAAAAAATAATAATTCTACTTCCTAAAAAACCTACTCATTGCTTCAAATTTACAAAATGTGCCACTGTCATTTTTTTTTTTTATAAGGACAATGATTAGTAGGTTAATATTGTTAGATGTTAGCAATTGAAAATTCGATCCTCAGATCTGATGAATAATCCACCGGTCTCAATAAAGCACGCGCAGCCATTAAACCACTTGGTGGAATTTGTGCCACTGTCATATTAATTGATCATCTTATCAAAAATCGTTCAAAAAAATCTTATTAAATTAATATAATAATAAATGAAATTAAAATTTTGAATCAATAACCTAACATAATTTATATTATT